ATGTCATCGGACTGGTGGTATTGTTGGTACTGGGGGGGGGGGATTTTTTTTTTTCCGGCATTAGTATCTGTATCTGTTGGTTTGGAGTGGAGGCCATCGACTGTGGTTCCACTCCAGGACCCCTCAAGGAAGGTTCCTTGATGTTGGTGAGGGGCTCTTGATTTAAGGAATTGGATCTGTGCACCAGTTCCCCGAATTAAGCCTGAATGCCTTCCACATCCCCCCCCCCCAGGCGCTGTATAATCCTCCGGGTTTAGCGCTTCCCCCTTGATTATAATAATAATAATCCACTCCAGGAATGACTGGATTTGGTGTACGATTTCTGCCATTTCCTGCCAGTTTTTTTTCCTTCCTGGCACTAAAATACCTCTCCCTCTTGAGTGGTTGTGGCTACCCAGGTTTTCCCATGGCCTGGATGTTTTGTATCTTTTTGTCCCCTTTAGATGGTATGCCTGGCAATTTAAGTTATAGCACAGTCTTTCCTGTACTGAAGAGGTACACATTTCAGGGTGAAAAAGCTTACAGGAAGGGAGTTTGCATTTTCCTGTTGTCATATGGGCACGACATTTTCTAGGGTGGTCATAGTTGCACGTCCCATCTGTTTTTCCAGATTTCCCATGCCAGCAGATACCAAGTGCATAGTATGTGCACAGGCTTGGTTTCCGTTTGCCTTGGGTTTCTGTGACTGTATTTTCTGTTGGTGCATGTTTCCCTGTCTTATTCCTATCCTCCCTAGCACCAACAACGGAGCTCCCACCAGTTGTTTTTGGTAATATATCCTCACTATTGCTAGTGGAGTCCTCTTGTTTGCTATTTCCTGCGGTATTTCTAGTTTGCAATATTGGTTTTATCTTATCTTTGACTACACTTGTTTCCCTACTATGGCTCCTGTCCCCTATGAGGTCATTTATATGTATTCCTTCCTGCGTATAATTCCCGACTATGAGTATGAAGTATAATAATATAGTAATAACCTGTATTACTACAAGTGCATGATACAACTAATACAGACGTTAGCTGACATTAATGGTATACTATATAGAAAGACCCTGGATATGCTGAATATTTCGGTCAAATTAGAGTAATTTTGTCCCCAGGATGCGACCCACACCAGTCGACTAACACCCAGGTACCTACTTACTGTTAGGTGAACAGGGACAGTAGATGTCTCATGGAAACACGTCCTAATGTTTCCGTAAGTATGATAGAGTTGATGAATTAGCTAAACCATTAAATAAAGAGAATAAGTATTACTTTGGTTATTCATGATTAAAGAAAATAAAACAGTACAGATAGGAACTACCAGATCCATTATCCATCATAATGAAAATGATGGATCAAGGCTCCATAAATTAAATATATAATGACTACTGTAGTGACTTTTGATGTCACAGTATTATTTATTAGAGTCCCTGTCCGTGATATACTTACATATCTTGAAGAGGAGCTAGAAAACACTCGTGCCCTGCCCTACCCCAAGAACATAATTATTAAACTTATTAAGCTTTGTGTTATGGACTGCAAGTTCATATTTGAAGGTAAATACTATGCTCAACAACAAGGCATGGCCATTGGAAATCCCCTTATCCCCTTACTCAGCAAATTATACAGCATAACCTCGGTTTTCAAATTATATTTGTTCCAGATGTTGATAACCAAAATCGGCAACAACCAAAGCAATTTTTCCTAAAAAGAATAATGTAAACAGAATTTATCCATTCCATGCCCCAAATGACAATATAATAATATTTTAATAAATTACTACTCCATAAAAAATGTATAAAATTATACAGTGCAGGGGAAACTGTAAAAATGAATACAGTACTAAATGAAAATTTCACTGCCCCTTACCTGTCAGAGGTGAGCTAGTGTTGTTTCTCTTCTTTGTCTCTTTTCACCACTAACACCTTGTTCTAGCTCAATGGTTCTTTGTCTCACTAAAAACCTGTCCAGTGAGGTTTGTTTCAAGCTTCATTTTAACACTTGTCTAAACTGAGACATTACACTGTCACTGTATATGTTAGAGAGATGGATGGCCACTGCCTTGTCTGGATGGTTCTTTTCAGCAAACTCCTGCACTTCATACCATTTAGCACGCATTTCCTTGACAAGCGCAGTGGGCACATCATCCTTCCCTCCTTTTCTTCTGATGACGGTTCTACTGCTGTTCCTTCTGAAGGTCACATCTAGGCCTAAGGTCTTCCCCAGGGACACAATACCCTCTACCAGTTCAGACTCATCTTCAAAGCATTCAAGATCCCTGGCTGTCACAATTTCTTCCATGCTGACTGCATGGTCCTATTAGACATATTTCCCCAGGCTTTGTCTATAAGCCTCAAGCACCTGAGGATATTGAATGGTCCTTCCAGAACTCCTTGAGGGTTAAATTTGTTTCTGAAGTGATTTCAAAGCACCTTTCAAAAAGTGCTTTGGTGTAGACTTTCTTGAAGTTACAAATGACCTGCTGGTCCATGGGCTGCACGAGAGGAGTGATGTTAGGAGGCAAGAACTTTACAATTATAAAATTAAACTCTTCCAGCAACTATTTTTCCAAGCTTGGAGGGTGAGCAGGAGCATTATCCATGAGTAAAAGGGCCCTGAGTGGCAATTGTTTTTTAATAAGGTACTTTTTGACAGTGGGAGCAAAGACCTCATGAACTCACTCAAAAAAATCGTCTTGTTACCCAAGCTTTCTTGTTGGCCCTCCACATTACAGCCAACTTGTTCTTAAAAACTCCTGGATTTTCAGAATGATAAACAAGTAAAGGTTTCAATTTCAAATCCCCACTTGCATTACCACACAATAACAGAGTGAGCCTTTCTTTCATTGGCTTGTGTCCTGGTACTGATTTTGTCCTGTTCTGTACACACAAAAACTTGTCCTTCGACAACCAAGAGAATGTACAAAAGACCGGGACGTTTTTTCCTCAAATGCCTTATTTGAAAACACATTTATTTGACAAATAATGCAATCAACAGCCGAGGTTCGACTTTACAAGGAATTATGAGACTAGACTCCTTAAAGATATCCTCCTATGTAAAGCTAGGATATGTACATGTTCTTTTGTCTTTGCCCTAGATTTCACAATATTGATGAGTTCCTTCCTAGACTCAGTGGTTTAGTACCCTCAATTAAGTTTACCACAGAGCATGAAGTAGACAACAAATTGCCTTTCCTAGATGTTCTAATCCATCATGTTGACAGGAAATTTAAACTTAGTGTACACAAAGTCAATTAATGTGTCGTCATACATTCACTATTATTTTAATCATGAATCCTTACAGTGTTCTTGAGATCTTTGCGTATTTGTAGCCCGGAGTATTTTGATGATTAAATTAATGAGATATGTATTCAACTGAACCGAAATATTCTAGGAATTTTGTTGAGAAGGCATTACTGAAAGCCAATTAGACTTTGTATAGGACTGAACCTAAGGAAGTACTTTCCAGAAAAAATATATTGTTTTTGCCTTACAATGAGAATCTGGACAGCCTGTGTGATGCATTAAGAAAGCTGAATATAAATACGTATTATCTTTCAAGAACACTGGAACAATGAAGAATTTGATCAACCATGTACCATCCAACATGGTGTTCACAAGGTCCCATGACCTCTTTGGCTAACCACTAGAAATCAGACTACCCCAACACCAGTGCTCGGAAATGACAGCTCTGGAGTTGAATGCAATCTTTAGCCATGTTAGTACCTGCAATCATCCACTGGGGCAGACAAGAACATAATTTAATTATGATAGGAATGCCTTGTATAATTCTACTGATGGATTATACAAATTCAACTGCTATTTAATAGTCATTTGTACATAATCTTAGGAAATGATGCTATACAAAATTGCAATTGCCCATTGTGTAATGGATCCTTGTGATAATCTGGTGACATTAGATCATTGTTCTCTGTATCCATCCTATTGGAAGTCATGCCTGTCTATCCCTGTAGGTAGGTGTAGGCGAGAGCATGCCCCTATTAGTGCTCAATTTTTCTGGTTCCATTTTGAGATACACCGTGATAGATTGTTCCACACATTTTGCCCATTGGAGATTGCACCCCCCTGTCTGTATCACCATATACAGGGAATTATGGAAAGTAGAGCATCTCCATGGGTTGGTGGAAGTGAGCATATGTTCCTGTCACTTCTCAATTTTTCTGGTACCATTTTGAAGGTATACTTTAATAGGTAGTTAGTAGCAGTAAGTCTGTTTAGGCCCTGCAAATGAGTACAGTTACACAAGTTTATATGACTGCAACATATATGTGAGTTTCATGGGATAACCTAAGGCAGAGATTCATGTGTCTTACCATATCTAGGAATACAGAGGAACAGTTACTATTAAAATACTTAAGATGTAGTAACAAGCCTCTGTATGGAGCAGAGTAGGTAATAACGTAGGATGGGAGTAGGTAAATATGTAAGGATCTTTGTAGGTAATCCTCTCTGCTGGCACTTCCTGGAGCATAATGATGTATGTTCATATATTAATGTAAAGCTACAAAAGCTTGAGTGTGTGGATGTATTAACCACTTAGGTAACATTATTTCATATGGCACTAGATCAATTGATATCAATTAGATGCAGTTTTGGGCTTACTAGCACTTTTCCTTATTATTCTGTAATTTTCTTTATATAAACTTCTGAGGTTTCCCCCTCCCTTACCTAAATGTAGGAGTGAAAGGATGGGAGGTTGGGTGTTGACTAGCAGAGAGCCCTCTCACTCACTTTACAGTGATAGGGTCCAGTGCTGATACGCTTCTGCCTTGTCTCTGAGAGAAATTTTCCCCTCCAATCTATCTGTTGCTAGTCTTAATATATAGAATACCTCCTGACGACGCATGAGTGCGAAAGATCCTGAACAAAAGATTTCGATCCCCATGTGGGTTGTTCCACACACACACACAAATATACATATACATGTAAACATACATACACATATGTACGTATATAAAGTCATTATTAAGGAAATGCTTGTTCACTGAAACATCCAACTACGATTTATATATTTATTCAAAGGACATTATATCACAGCATATTCAGCAAGCCCAGATGCATATAAAATCTTTACGAAACTAACATGGTGCATTTTATCCACAAATACAATTAACAGATAACGCAAGAGAAGAAAGATATGATTTACTATAAACCATACATGTATATATATTTTACTAACGTAGAATGGAGCTTACTACAGAGTAATTAGCATGGCAAAAGCCAGTGGTAATGACCTTGTTACTTCACTGATGTCTACAAAGCTAGTTTAACTTATTTATATTTATGGGGAGCACTAAACCCATAGAGATCATCCAGAGCAGAGGAAATATGGAATGGGAGGCACTCAAATTTAATCCATGGAAGTGGAGGTAGCTCAAATTCCTTGGACCAAAAGCCCCCTCACTGGCATCCAGAAACTAAATGACCTATATGGATTCAGCACGTTTGTGAGTAAAATAATAATAATAATGGTAACTTTTAGGCTTATATATAAGTAAAATTAAATTTTGCATATGAATTACTAGTGTATAGTAATTTGATTCCAACACAAAATACAAATAATTATTTCTTCCCTCTGTATTTGTGATAAAATTATGTGGCTTAGGTTTAATTAGCATGTGTCAAACATCTTCAAAAAGAAGTTAAAGCCATAACTACAAATAAAGTATTGTCTTATAATAAAAAAAATAAATTACATACTCTTTATATTAACTGATGGCCAACAATACCTTGGCAAATTTTTTTGCAAAGACATTTCTGAAGAATCCAGTTTCAAAATTCTTCATATTATAGATGTATGTAACCCCTTCTCTTGTATACATTACTAAAGCTAAAAAGAGAAACTTTTGTTTTTCTTTTTTGAGCCACCCTGCCTCTGATATATGTTTTTTTTTGTGTGTGTGTTTGATATATATATATATATATATAATACACATGTAGTAGGTTGGTAGACAGCAACTGCCCAGGGAGGTACAGTACTACAGTCCTGCCAAGTGAGTGTAAAACGAAAGCCTGTAATTGTTTTACATGATGGTAGGATTGCTGGTGTCCTTTTTTCTGTCTCATAAACATGCAAGATTTCAGGAACGTCTTGCTACTTCTACTTACACTTAGGTCACACTACACATACATGTACGAGCATATATACACACACCCCTCTGGGTTTTCTGCTATTTTCTTTCTAGTTCTTGTTCTTGTATATTTCCTCTTATTTCCATGGGGAAGTGGAACAGAATTCTTCCTCTGTAAGCCATGCGTGTTGTAAGAGGCGACTAAAATGCCGAGAGCAAGGGGCTAGTAACCCCTTCTCCTGTATAAATTACTAAATTTAAAAAGAGAAACTTTTGTTTTTCTTTTTGGGCTACCCTGCCTTGGTGGGATATGGCCAGTTTGTTGAAAAAAAAAAATATATATATATATATATATATATATACACACACAGTATTGTACTGATGTGTTTTATGGTTACATGTTTATATAAATTAACTGTGATATAAACCAACCATTTGAAAGTCAGTGTCATTATTCTAAATCCCCCACACTATACCTATATAACTATTAAACCACAATACAAAATAACCCTGTACAGAATTAGCATTGGTTATGCCCAAGGAGCAGTATAAATTATAATTTACCCAAATTCCCAGGTTTATCATTTTTAATGTACACAATCTCCATATTTTTAATAAATTAAATTATATAACTGAGGCAGATATTTATCAACAGTGTAGCAGTGTTGACTAAAGACTGTACATGAATATGGGCCTGCTGATTTAATACTGTTGTTGTATAGTTTTTCAGTACAGAATTTGAACTTTAACAGTACAAATAAAATGCGTGGACATACAACCAATTTTTAGTGGTTATACTAAGATACTTACCTTATCACACACTATAAATTCATTGCCAGATTTAAGGCTTATTTCCTCGCATTTGTATTTGTGCTGTCTCTCACAACCACGGGAGAATGACAGCTCGCAGCCAAGAGTATCAATCATCACAGTACTAAATTGCAAAACTACTGCTTAACATTTTTTGGCAATATTAAATTACTCTAAGACATTTATGTACTCAACTAAAAAAAAACTTCACTTTTCAACTTAGTACAATCATGCCATGCACTCGTACATTGCACCAGCCACTGGATTCATCTCTCACAAAACAAATATACATTACCCCTGAGCACTACCTCAAGTTTCTCAACAAAAGCATACTAAAAATGACTTTTCAGCTTGCACTAAATTTTTAAAGGGACACTATTAATATATATAAAATATTAAATTTTAAAACTACTAATAGGATTTATTTTTGTCAATTCAGCACATGATCTTGTGTCATGCTCCAATTAACAAGATTTTTGATTACTAAGGATCTAACTAATGAATGTATATTAAAATTATAATAAAATTTATTTTTGCTTATGAATTACTCTCCAATTATTCTGATATAAATAGCAAAGATGAGTATATGGTTCAGAATATTTAACTTATAAAAGATAATTATTTCTGTTCTAGCTGTTGATAATCAAAGTATTGGAGCGTAATCTAAGGAACAACAACCACACATAAAATACACGCCTACACTCCCTCTACGAAGCATTACCAATGGAGAACATAAGACCAATGGAATATTCATAAACATCTTCATTATCTTAGACCATTTATGAATGATTCTACATGAAAATGTACAATCGAAATACTGTTTTCCTGATGAAGTTTCAACAGAATTCATAGCACACAAACTATCATTTTACATAAAATTCATCCTCACACTTTGTTCAGCAACAATAGTGCTAAAACCACATGTTTATCATTTTGGCTGGTTCCTCACTTTAAAGGAATTGGCAGATAGGACAGAGGACAATGGAATCATGGTACAAAATATTTCATAACATTAAAACGATAAGACGACAGGAAGACTCTTGTAGTCATAATTCAATTTTTATGTATTGTTGAACATATCAAATGCCAGCAATACAGTACACCAGCTGTGACTTAGAACAAAACAATTGCTAGTGCTGGAAAATTTGCACCACTTAATGAGGTATTTAAAGGAAATGTATGAACTGTGCATACCATACATTAATTTGTTGCTAAATACCTTATTCATTAACAAAAAAATCTTGGGGTAAAAAAAGTATATTAAAGATCTCTTACATAAAAATATAAGTCAAGGCTGACCTACATTAAAATATTAACACCAAAATATACAGTAATACATTATAAAATAATGAAAATTGTGCCCTTCAAGGTTTGTACAGAATGTTATGATAAGCATAGTAAAGTGGAAAGACTCAACAGCATTGCATTCTGCTCTTACCTTACATAAGAAGAAATATAGCAAGTTGTAGCCTCCACTTCCTATGACTATTCACAGCATAAACTCAAACCAAGAATATTTTTTTTGGTTGCTGTTTCATATAGTTGTATCATAGTTGTCTGACACCGTTCATACATGTGAGGTGTACAACAGTGTTGAGTCTGTGTGATGATATCCAAGAAGGGTCAAGCTTTTATTTCTTTACCACTAGGACAGTGAGCATTACTGGATTCTCTTCCATAGCTCAATATTTGCAGCCAAGCCACATTTACATATATGGACAAGATTAAAAAATAGTTCTCAAGTATAATGTTTACTACATAATTTTAGGAGCTAAATTTCTCCTGGACACTTGTTCATGTATGTAGCTTGCATGGTTCTACGTATTAATGTAGCGGAACTAAGCTTAAAAAAAAAAAAAAGGCTGAAATTTGAAAATATAAACTGTAAAGACATTCTACTTGAGCACTATAATCTATTGAAGCATACATAAATAGGTAATAAAGTCCATGACTGCATAATAATTATGACCATGACTGGATAACTTTTACACAACCTGATTAAGAAATAAATTCTAAAGACCAATTTGTACTTTCACTTTTTTAGGGAAACATGGTTATGTACTGTAGAACAAGAAAAAAAAATTTTGTCTTAGAGTAGTAGGGTTATGAAAAATCTGCCATACATGTATCTACAAAAATGGTTTTGAATTTGTACAAAAAATAACAGAACTTTGGGCAAAAAGTTCCTCTCATAGTAGGAACTTAACCAAATCAGTGGGACACCAATGTCACAAAATAGTTTATGCCTTCCAATTCACTAGTAAACCAACCAAGAACTGAATTCATCTCTAAGACAGAAATCAGTTCTCTTGACTGGTCCACTAAATACATGGCAAGTCAAGGCAACCTTGAAAAGTTTACTTTCCTATACTAGCCAAACTATATAATCAGTTTCCACAACCTCTTTTATCTAAGTATTTCAAGTGTAACCAAGAAAAATTAACTGTAGAAATTATGTTATATAACTGGTAGTTAAGGCAGTTTGGTAGATTTGAGATCTTGTTGCAACTTATGGTATACCTTATGTTAAAAACCGGGATATTTCTCCCTTAATGAAAGCATAGTGATGTCTCTCACCTTTCCACCTTCAAAGTGCTTTCATGTATTGTAATGTATATAAATTATAATGCAAAATATAAACTTTAATGAATCCCCTACAAGTTATTTCCATAAACTTCTACTAACAATAACATGTAAAAATTGAGACAGTATGTACTAACTACACCAAAGCTGTCATTCCATATAAACTAGCAGATTGCATAGCTACAAAAAGTTTTCTTTTAAATCATTACATCAAATGATCATTCATATAAACATATGTATTTACCATAGGAGCCATACATAGATACAAACAATCATACTGTGCTATACAACTTTGATTATCTTTTATAATCATCACAAGCCCGCCTTATTCGAAGACATAACATGTACACATCGTATGTACTGGTCAAGAGCTTCTTACAATACACACACATAACCACAGAAAATACTGATGAATTTTCACACAACAGGATTATATAAGAAATCATGTATTGCACTTCAGATGTAAAAATCTTTAGGTCTACAACAATTAGAAAAACCCCAAGTCATTTCAACCATTGTGCTTCACTCACAGCTCTTGCTACCTCAGCAGTCCCACGTGATAAATTTCATTATATCGTAAAATCTCACATATCATTCAATTACCTACGGTCTTTTTAATGGGCCCAAGTTCAGTTCTATTTACAGTCCATAAGTGACGGATATTTGATGTAGAGTTTGTAATTAGGAATACACCGTAAGAATAGACTTGTGTGCTAACATTGCTTCCTACAAAGCCCCACGAGGAAACAAGACACAAAGTTCTAGGGAGTTGTACCTTAACAAATGGCTGGATCACCACAGGAGGACATGTTACTTGTGACAGCAATGACAAGCAACCACTTGGCAGAAGATAATTATAAATAATTTCATTCATTCAGATACTGTATACATTAAGGATTGTATTCAGGTGATACACTCAAGTAAGTCGACTCACTCATGATACATCACAAATGCACTAAGCATCTAGGTTAGTACTTGCCTGACATTATTTCCTTCTAAGAGGGTGGTGCACCTTGGTGCTGGTGAAGGGCTCTTCTTGGAAATTGGAGTTGCTCTCCCCTTCCTCGGATCAAACCTGATTATTTCTCATTCCCCAGGCATTGTACAACTCCTACAGGTTGACCACTTCCCTATGATTATTCTATATATTAATAATTTTCCAACAGTACTGTGAACAGCTTCAGAATTTAGCCAGGTAATTTTCATTAAAACATATGTATGTAAAAACGAGAAGCGTAACCAAGGTTGGAGGCCTATATAAAATGCATAAAAATCATGGATAACAATCTATGAACCACAGTGTATCAACTGACTCAGGTGCATATCTTAAATACAATATCCTGATATTAATTTCTTTTAAATCTACACAATATTCCATAATAATATGAACCAGGATTGTCAAGCTGAATTCTCATAAAGACAGTTGGCTATAATTGGACGTTAGTACTAAATTGAGCTGAATTGAGCTTAAAATTTTTCCTGCCATAAAATCTACAATGTTCAAGAAAGGGTTACAATTCTAAAGATTCATGAAAAACTAATTCTCAGCAGGAATAAAATTTTGATCCTTTACTATATTCATGGTAATCTAAAAATAACATTCTCACCAAAATATGTTTATATTTCCATGAATATATAGAATCCATTACAAAAAAATGGCCCATCCTTGATGACTGCTTCTTCAAACTCTCTTAGGTAAACTGGACCGCATCACAGCCTTGATGATCGGAGGTTTGTTGTTCCTGCAATCACTGTTGGACACTTACATTATAAAAGACAGATTGCAGACAGATTTCCATGTATTTTCATCTTCTGATTAATGAACTTCCAGGGATGCAAATAATTTCTTGCCATTTGAAAATTCCTAAATATATTTCAAATTAAAATGGCTATTATGACTGTTAGAAGCATATCTAAAAATGTTGAAAAACTAAACAAAGTATCTCACTTCATGTGTGAAAGAAGCACTTTCCAAAACAGTGCATGGTACAGATAACTTTTCTCTCACACATTTACAGAGGTGTGGACCTCTTTCAGGTGTACACATAAAACATATCCACAAAAAGGGGTTCAAATTAAAACACACACACACACACACACATATTGTCTTCCACTGGAAAAATGATGTGTTTATAATGTATCTCTTTCCAAATATCTGGAAAACTGATCTCCTCTTTCGCAACTCGAGGAAATTTTTTGTCTTGATGTATATTTTCAAATATGGGCTAATGATGGAGGAGTAGGAAGATTGGCACTGGAGGCTGGCAGAAAGATGGGGTTGAGGCGGAAGCACTGGGCCCGAGCGCTGATGTTGCTATGTCCCCTCGCTATCCCACACACTGAGGTCCCCTGCCACAATACAAATGGAAATGGCACCAATTATTTGTCCACATCTCAAGTGAATATAATACATTTAAAACTAATATTCAATCTTATGTATCATTATTGTGGAAATGTATTGAACAAAAGGAAAATGTTGATCTCTAATCAAGGGGGAAAGTAAAAGTCTTGATACTGATAAATTTTTGTACATTCATGGCAGTAAGGAGTACTGCCATGAATGTACAATACTGTACTGTACTGTAGTAAGGAGACCATAATACAGTGGACCCCCGCTTAACGATCACCTCCAAATGCGACCAATTATGTAAGTGTATTTATGTAAGTGCGTTTGTACGTGTATGTTTGGGGGTCTGAAATGGACTAATCTACTTCACAATATTCATTATGGGAAAAAATTCGGTCAGTACTGGCACCTGAACATACTACTGGAATGAAAAAAGTTTGTTAACCGGGGGTCCACTGTATTGAATCGAGTGGGAAAAATGACCTAATTGTAAGTGTAATGTAAAGTAAAAGGACACAAGTGCAACTAATGTGACATTTTATTGTGGCAACGTTTCGCTCTCCAGGAGCTTTATCAAGCCGATAAATGTAATACCAACTGTAATAGTGGAAGACCAAATAAAAAGATATCAGTGGCACATTCATCACTGGCAAACCTCATCAAGAACTCCTTTAAGATAATATGCAAGACTCTATGTAGTACGTAGCACCAGCATGGAATTCATAGGGCCTCAAAACATAAGTTTATGAAGGTCCAGCAATTTACTACCATTCTAGTCAATGAGATTAAGGTCCTGAATTATGAGAAACTTAAAGAGCTGAATCTCAACAGTAGAGACACTGAGGAACAGAGAGAATATGGTCACAATCTTGAAGATAATTAGAGATGCTGATTAAGTGGATATGAATAAATACCTAGTTCCTAAGGAAACAGAATTGAAAGAATTATAAGAAATGACTTCTTTAGTAAGTAAGTAAGTTATTCAGGTATACACAAATACAGTTACATAGAATTATCATACATAGCAGTGCATGTGTAGAGAACCTAGGATAACCCAAAAAAGTCAGACAGAGTGACTTATTTCCATTGGGGTCCTTACTTATTTCCATTGGTGTGAGGGCAGTGAGCAAGTGCAAGTGAACTATGGAAAGAAGTAAAGGCTAGCTGCTATGAAGTTTTGGGAAAGCTAGGGAGTAAAAATTCCTGTCTAGGGGTACATATAAAGTTATTTAAAAATAAGCCACCCTAAGCCCATTCATACTTTGTACGCTCCTACACAAATTGTTAAATAGGTGGTCAATACTTTAGGTCTGATCATCAGGAAGGGCAGATAAACTAATCTTCAGAAAAATATATATAGTGTAATTGCCTACAATGTCACCTTGCCTTGGTGGGAAATAGCAGATGTGTTAAAAAAAAATATTGCCTGAATAACGCTAGCCATATGACAACACAGATAAGGCTCCAGTGATAAAACACCAATCGGTTAAGGGTTAAGAGAGACCCAAAGACTGGAATTTGATTTCTACAAACACATGTAGGTAAGTATACACCCAAACTAACAACGTGGGTTTGGGAAAGGCAAATCATGCCTCACAAGGGTTAAAGTCTGTTTTTTTTTTTTTTTTTGTCAAAGAACTGGCCATATCCCACCGAGGCAGGGTGACCTAAAAAGAAAAACAAAAGCTTTCCTTTTTAAATTTAGTAATTCATACAGGAGAAGGGGTTACTAGCCCCTTGCTCCCAAATTCTGTAATAGGATGATGTAAATTAAACAGGAAAGCTAAGGAGGGCACTACAAACTCCTGGACTGTCAGAAAGTCATTCACATGGCAGTTCAAAGGTAACTAATTTACAAATTACTAATGAAATTTGGGATACATGTCAGGGTTGATACCCAAAACCTATATAAAAATAGATAGAGGGAGTATATACACCTGACAAACAGAAGGCAGAATCATAGTGATGAGACAATGAACTGGGGAAAAGTACAGTAACAAGTAGGTTCCTCAATAATCAGTTACCGAATCCATAATGCTCTTGATATACGTCAACAATCAGTCTGATGGTTCAAAATAATGCAAAATTCCAGAGAACAGAATGTGAAGTGAATGTATTAAACTGCAGGATGACATGAGATGAACAAGTTGCCAAATGATCCAATAAATAGCTGCTCAATTTCACCCCTCATGGAAGGTTCCTTGATGTTGGTGAGGGGCTCTTGATTTAGGGAATTGGATCTGTGCTCCAGTTCCCCGAATTAAGCCTGAATGCCTTCCACATCCCCCCTCCCCTGGGCGCTGTATAATCCTACGGGTATAGCGCTTCCCCCTTGATTATAATAATAATAATAATTTCAACCCTAAGAAATGCAAGATAAAAAAAAAAAAGCCATTAGAGTAAGGCAGTTGTTCATACCAGTAGGAAAAGGGAGTAGACATAACACTAAACCTATTACTCGTCACTTACATAAATAGGATATTGTCAGTGGCATATGTAGCCTCAGCATATGAAACAATGATATGGAAACCTCAACAAGGATGTTGAGGCAATTTAGTGTTTGAGTTTGTAGTGCCTTGATGGTCCACAGCTTTGCCACTGGGCTAGTCTACAAAATACAGTGGACCCCCGGTTTACGATCAGCTCCCAATGCGACCAATTATGTAAGTGTATTTAAGTAAGTGCGTTTGTATGTGTATGTTTGGGGGTCTGAAATGGACTAATCTAATTCACAATATTCCTTATGGGAACAAATTCGGTCAGTACTGGCACCTGAACATACTTCTGGAATGAAATAATATCATAAACCAGGGGTCCACTGTATAGGACTTGTGCTATGAGGGTAAACTCTGAAATAAATTTAAAAAAACACTGTAGGAATGAAGGCTTTAAAAGAATATGGCTACACCATACATAAAAGATACTCAGAATTATCAACAAGGTGGACGGCAAATGTTTGAAAGGGACGAGACCAGAACAAGAAAACAAATGACGACTAAATGAAAGTCAACCAGATCTAAGAAGGCACTTCTACAGCAAGTGATATGGACAAGAAAATAGTTTGATTATTATTATTTAATTTTAAAAATAGGCACTAAACCCATAGGGATTAATAAGGTAGGAGGCAAACTTAACTTCAAATGTAGATATGACAAACCCAATGGGGCTGGGGATGCATTTCACACACTGATCAATGGTTAAAAGGAGACTTTCTTAGGTAATCTATACATTTGCTGCTATGTATAATAATTGATGTAACTGTATTTATGTGTACCTATACCTGAATAAACTTACTTATTTGCCTAGCAGCTGGAGGTTTACCCCTATAAACAGACAGGTGAGCATACACAGCATAAACAGGACAACATACTGTACAAGTAGAGAATCAATGTAAAAAAAATGTAATGCAGATTCAAAGATGAATAATGGCCTTTATACATTAGTATTTACCTATCTGCTCAGATTTTTTTTTACATTTTACTAGGTGCATTAAAAAAAAAGTAAATATATGTACTACCAAGTGTAATGTAATGCTACGTGAAAGATACCGTTCAGACCAAAAAGACTGACCTGAGTAAAAGAGGTCAGTCGGCAGTGAGCTGCGTCTGTGGAGCGTATGAGGCATGGCAACTCTGGGGGGAGGCAGGCCTCCCGGGGTGCCAGGTGTCATGCCACCAGACGATTGGGAACACAAGTCAGGATCATCTAATGTTGAACTTCCTGATTCTAGGTGTGACCTGTGCATGAATTATTCATTATATGTCTGCACCTAAACCAGTCAATAACAGTATTACCATAATACAAGTGAGATTCTTATGTGTATGCTTTAACAATCTATAATTAACAGAAATGATTTTAACTTGATAACCAATTACTTCCTTCATAGCAGCGATGCCGTTAAAAGGCTCTTAATCCAAGAAAGTGGAGCTATCCTCTACTTCCTTGGCTCAAATCTGATTGCCTACCATTCCTCCCTTTACCCAGGTGCTGCACAACCCTTACATGTTTAGTGCTTCCCAATCAATACAAGAGCAATTCAACTAACCTCCAAAATCCTGCAAACAGTTCCACACCACCAGATCCCCGGTGGAATTCATGGTGGTGAGTCAGGGATGAAGGAATTCCAGCTCCTCCAGAGCCACCACCACAAACCCCGTGACCTCCATACGCAGTAGGCATCGAAGGAAGTGCTCGGGCTACCAAGGACGGTAGCATTTCTAGACCGCCAGAGCCTCGACGCCCGAATCTATCGTGCATTTATTTCATTATTTTACCCTCATGTTATGTAAAAATTATGACTATTATAATCCCCTACCAGGGAAGGAGTCAGTGATAGGGTTAGAGGCAGAGAAATGGAAAGGGATGGGAAAGGGTGCAGTGAAGGGAGTCAGTGTTAGTGATGGTGTCGGGGAAGTGGGGAGTTGGTCCAGCTAAGAATGAGGTCAAGGTTGCATCTGGAGGAGTTCCCTGAGTAGCCCCTCATCTGCTGCTCTTTTCCACTCTTGCCAGATTTTTACATGCACTCTTAGCTATTCTCTCTCCAGCATCATCTCAACCTAAGAAGACACAGCTGTAGAACTGTGGGGCCTTTAGGCATGCTTTCTGCTGTAATATTGTCCCAGTCTATAGAAGACTAAAAGACTAATTTGATCGGGTGGTGCTTGCTATAAGAGAACTGCCCAATCTGAAAAATTTCCATCTACTCTATCACTTCCTCCCTTCTTGTGTACTTCACAACTGATATAATCTTCCACTTCCCATCTACTACTACCCTGGGCCACTTTCAGTCTCCTGAAGTTCATGGATCATCACTGACCTCCCTTTTCCTCCCACTGCCTCTCCTTCCAGATTTCTTTGTTTTCACCATTTCCCATGCTCTCTCTCTCGTCACACTGCCAGTGAATTCCTTCACTGTTCCCTCTGAACCCCTGGGCTCCCTCTCTTCCTTCACTGTTCTCTCTGAACCCCTGGGCTCCCTCTCCTTCCTTTACTATTCTCTCTGAATCCTCAGAGGCTCCCTCTCCTTCCTTCACTGTGTCTGTCCCTTCTCACCTCCCTCTCATTTTTCTTCATGGTCTCCTTTAGCTCTCTTTATTTCCACTTCCAGTTTTAGACTCTGTCTTCTGCTACATTATTTCTATTTGTTCTGCAGCATCCTGCTTTATTACAGACTGCCCATTTCTTCCTGGAGAGAATTGAACTGCCTTAGAATAGCCTCCCTCATTGTTCCTCCTTCTATAGTCTCTTTCAGGATGGAAATATAAACACAAATTACAGTATAATGCAATTCTTAATTGACAACATTTTGCCCACACAGTGGGCTTTATCAAGTCACAAACAGATAAAGCCCACTGTATGGGTGAAATGTTCTCAGTAAAGGATTACATTATACTGCATTTGTGTTTATTTTTCCATTGTGTCAGTATTTTATACCATTTATCTCCATAGTCTCTTTCAGCTTGAGGGATCTTGCCCTATATAATTGTTCTGTCATTTTATTCCTTGTTTCACTGCACATTACTACAGTTTCTCTCTGAAGGATAAGTGAACTTTCCCTCAGACTCCTCAGGCAATCCATTCCAATGTTCTACAACTCTGTAAAGACTCACTTTCAAGCATCCATTTGCTACTACTGTTATCTCAGTTTACATCTGTGAATTCTTACTCACTCCTCTCCCAGCTGGGTCTCCAGGTCATCCATTATCATTTCCAGGTGTGTGTGTGTGTGCATATGTGTTCTTGTGTATGTGCTTATGTATGCATGTGCACATGTGTGTTTGTGTGTGTGTGTGTGTGTGTTTGTGTATTCACCTATTTGTACTCATGTATTTGTGGTTGCAGGGGTAGAGATTCAGCTCCTGGCCCTGCTGCTTCACTGATCACTACTAGGTCCTCTCTCTCTCTCCCTGCTCCATGAGCTTTATCATACCTCGTCTTAAAGCTATGTATGGTTCCTGTCTCCACTACCTCACTTGCCAGACTATTCCACTTCCTGACAACTCTGTGACTGAAGAAATACTTCCTAACATCCCTCTGACTCATCTGAGTCTTCAACTTCCAATTGTGACCCCTTGCTTCTGTGTCCCATCTCTGGAACATCCTGTCTCTGTCCACCTTATCTATTCCTCGCACTATTTTGTATGTCGTTATCATGTCTCCCCTAACTCTCCTGTCTTCCAGTGTTATCAAGCCAATTTCCCTTAACCTTTCTTCAGAGGACATTCCCCTTAGGTATAGAACTAGCCTTGTTGCAAACCTTTGCACTTTCTCTAATTTCTTGACATGCCTGGCCAGATGTAGGTTCCAAACTGGTGCTGCATACTCCAGTATGGGTCTGACGGTGTACAGTGTCTTGAACGATTCCTTACTGAGGTATCAGAATGCTATTCTCAGGTTTGCTCTGTGTGTGCATGTGCGTGTGAGAGTGTGTGCATGTGTGTGTGTGTACATGTTACAACAAGTGCTATGCAAGATACATAAGCAGATTCACCATCAATTTCATGGAATCCTTTTCAACAATAATTAACTGAAGTTGTAAGTGAAAAACTGCTTTACCAATAGGGTAATACATGAAACTCTTGTATGCAATATTCAGACTGTAAAAGTTTATTTTGGGAGACCAAGACAAAGTTTAACCCTTTCAGGGTCCAGACCCCCAATCTGAAACTTATCCACAGGGTCCAATAATTTTCAAAAAATGTTTTTGTTATTTTTCTTATGAAATGGTAGACATGTTTTTACGAAGGTAATAAAACAAGAAGAACAAAATTTGATGAAAAACTGACGAAATTACGCTCTTGTGAATTTTGCTGTGTCAGTGATATTTGTGCATCAGCGATTTTGCTCACTTCGACTTCCACTTGTAGGCCAGTTACATTATTCCAGTCGACCAAATTCTTAGTTATTTCACTAGTATTACTTCTATTTTATCAATTGAGCACAAAAAATCATCCAATTAATTATTTCAACTACCCAATAAAGTGATCAAAAATTGGCAATTTCACACAAAGTTCAAAATATTCCAATTTCAAAATAAGGTCCAGAATAAACAATGCAGGCATTTCTGGCACTAAAAATAACATTTCCTCTGTTTATTAGTTATGTTTTCAGGCATTACAACTGAATTCCACTTTAATTTTTTATTCACATAATGAATTTTTATTCACACCATAAAATAGAAGATTTACTGCTATGTAATATTGTAATAATTATATAAATAATATCAGCGCATTCGTGAATGCACATTAGACCCACCAGTTGATGTGTATTGGATGTGTTATGTGATTTGTTTACCCTTGAACATCAACAAAAATCAAACATTTCCAATACTTTGAGCCCAGTTTCAAGCCATTTTCAGTACCAAAACCAATCAAAATCATCTCTATTTCTGTAATATATCTTTAATTCTAAAAAATGAGACCAAGAAACTGTAAATACAACTGTAAAAAACATACAAAAATACGCTGCAAAGTTGCTGTTATAATCCAAAAACACAGTCGTACACTTACCACATTGATGCATTCTCTTGTATCTAGGCCAAAGTTTACTACTCACAGCTTATCTGAGTGAGCTGAGCTCATGGCATAGAACTACGGCTTGGACCCAGGCTTCAAAGCCATAGAACTACGGGACGGACCCTCGAAGGGTTAAAAAAAAATAATGGTCAGGTAATATATAAATAAGCCTACATAAAAATGTTACAATAAGATACTGTACTGTACTAATATAAGTATTGTCAATTACCTCCTTTCAGAGTGATCTTTCATAAATGAAAACTCGTAGCCCACATCTGTTCCAGGAATATCGAAAGGTACAGAGCCTCTTCGTCCCTTCAATCTTGAAGGGCCAAATGGGGTGTCACTTATTGGAAGGTTTTCAGTTGATGTTAAGGGTGTTCGGGGGCTCCCAGGAACCTCTGGGCCACTATCAGTGTCAGACCCTGAAAAAAAGTATTACAACTGAAACTCAAATTTAAGTTTTAGTGGTTATGACAATACTACAATATTTCATGGCTTATTCGATGCATTTTTTTCCATAAAATGTCTCCAAAAACCACCCTGTGTCCTATAAACTGAAGGTCAGTGATAGGAGCCATAAGTGTGGGGTGTGGGGTTGGTTGTAGCTCTCCCAGTTATGTCCACTGCCGAGCCATTGAAACTAAAACAAGTCTTATGAGCTGCATCTTATAAGCCATGAAATATGGTATAAATTTCCACCAGTTGCTTAAGTTCAACTAATTCATTGCAAATACTATGAAAATATAGTCTGTTCAAGCATTTTTTCTTAATTTACAATGTTTTTTTTTTTTTCAACAAGTCGGCCGTCTCCCACCGAGGCTGGGTGACCCAAAAAAGAAAGAAAATCCCCAAAAAGAAAATACTTTCATCATCATTCAACACTTTCACCACACTCGCACATTATCACTGTTTTTGCAGAGGTGCTCAGAATACAACAGTTTAGAAGCATACACATATAAAGATACACAGCATATCCCTCCAAACTGTACGTTTCATATATTCTATATTTTGTACAAGTTTTATTACAAGAACGAAGAAAATTGAGTGGTTTGGGTCTCTCAGCTGTGGGAGTGTGATAATTGGTTAGAAAACTGACAAGTTGAAGAATGAGATACCAGAATAACATTTGGGAATCTGTAATAAGGAAATGTTTTGCCACACATTGGCTTCATCAGTCCAGTAAAAAGAACAGTAGAAAAAGAGGAGAAGTTTGAGGTAATCAGTCCCTCAGCCTGGAATCAATGTGTTCAGTCCACCAATAAAGACTCCCAAATTTTGCACAAGTATTTTATTCTTCAATTGTGGGAGTGGAGTACGATACTACCCCTGCAAGAAGGATGGAGGGAAGAGGAAGATCTGTAGGTATTTATCCAGCATGATCCTCAAGCCCAGCAGTGTGGTCTTAACAAACAGGCTGTGTTGTATCACACAGATTCAGTAGGTTATTACCCATGTGGGTTTAGCATGTTTATTGTGAATATAACAATAATACAGTACATGTATATCCATGGGATACACTGTCTTTCCCTCCATGCAGTAACAGCCTGGTTGATCAGACCCTGATCCACCACAAGGCCTGGTCTCAGACCAAGCCGCAAGGGCATTGACCACCAAAATCCTCTCCGGGTATACTCCAGGTATGCTTCTCCTCCTGAGTAAGCTCTTGGCCTCCTCTTTTCTGAGGCAGTCATATTTCAAGTTATCTGCTTGTCTCTTATAAACTCAAACTCCATACTGGTATTGCATTTCACTCATTACTTTTTATTTTTTATTGTTTTACTCAATTTGGATTTTTACTGTTATTATTAATGAAAACAGAAAATTATCACAAACAATTATTGCAAATATTAATCCAGACTTTAAACACAAAAAAGCAAATACTACTACTACTAATAATAATAATAACACTGCACAGCAGAGAAGCCATAGAAGTAGAGAGCAGTAGAAGTAGGATATGAAATGAAAGTAATTAGAAGAGAAGGCAATGCCATACCTGTAAGCCGGGAAAGGCAGCTTAATGGATTTACCATGTATAAACCCTTCAATGAGGTGCATTGATGAAGTTGATATCTTCTGATCCAAGGAATTAGAGTTACTTTCCTCTTCCTTAGATCAAACCTGACTACTTCCCATCCCCAGGCATTGTATGTCCCTTGCAAGTTTTGCACTTCCTCATAATTATAACAATAACCATAGCAGGACAGAGTGTAAACACAGTAGGAAAGTATCAATATAGCAAGACAGAGAGTGTGGTAGTATATCTTAGATAAAGCTGGCCTCTGAAATGAGCTAAGGTACAGTAACAGCTTAGCAGGTAAATTCTATACTATAAAAAAAATATGGGTTAGGGATGAGTGTGGATTAGAGGGAGGAAAGATTTCTAAGGTAGGAAACTCTAACAATTTTATCATCGTTCCTCTGATGGAGGTCTCCCACACTTGTAATTATACAATTATGTTACTAAAGGAAGTCTAGAAAGAATAAAGAGGCACAACACCACAACTGGAACAATACATAAATAACCCACACACAGTAGACTGAAACTTATGATAATGTTTTGGTCCAACCTGGGCCATTAACTAGTTAGTCCAACTTGAACCATTAATTAGTCCAAGTTGGACTAAAATGTCCTCATAAGTTTCACTGCTGGTATTTGCATATAAAGGGAGTTTATATTGCCCAATAAGAAATTGTCTTGGTCTTCGCCCTCCATCTGAGGTCTGCACTTTGCACATTCTAATGTATATGTCCTAGAGTTATGCATAGCCTGAAGAACTTAGTTTTCAAGTAATCAGGAATCACCCGCCTGTACTGTCACACCTGAGATATATTCAGCAATATTTCTAAAACAACATCTATATCATGACAGCATACTCCCTCTGTGCCTATATTGGTTGTTAACAATGATTCCAGATGTTAGAATGTCAGAAATGAGTGTCTACTGTATACACTGTCTACTATACACTAATCCTAACAAATTTCCTTGGGTAAGAGCATAAAAAAAGTAGGAAACAAAAAATATAGGTAAAGACACATGTAATGGCATATTTTGAAACAAAATGAGATTGCAGAGTTGCATGTCTATCAGAATCAAGTGATCTGCAGTACAGATGTAGCCAGAGAAAAGCACCAGCAAAGGGCAAGGAACTTAAAATGGCAGTGATGTCATTTGTGACTCAGGTTCATGCAATGAAAGAAGAGGGCATTTAACTAGATTTAAAATATCTTAATAGTAATTAATCACTGTTATCTACCATGCCAGGGGACGAGTTGTATCATTAATACATATTTGCTGAAATAAAGTCGTAAATCAATGCTGTACATGCCAAAATAACTAATTCTCTAAGCTCAAAATAATGCAGACTGCTTTGCAGAGCATTGCAACATAATAAATATGCAATTTCAATCATACCTGATATGGAAGCAATGAAAGGTTCTAGGATAGAAAAGGAATTAGTTCGATTCAGTGGTTGAGGAAAAACGCGCTGTCGCTTTAATGGGGGTAGGATGCCAATCTTTCCGGCACCTATACTTCCTACACCACCACCACCAATACCACCACCACCACCACAGGCCCCAAGCAGACCACCAGCATGGCCAAGTTTCAGCATTTTATGTCCTAGACAGGAAAGGATAATGATAAGTTAGTAATTTGGGGGCAAAATTCTTGAAACAGTCACAATGAAGAAGTGGCAACAAACAATATCTGTGGCTCAATATTACTCCAATCTGTTGCACTGAGAACCAGCTCATGTTAAGCCACAGTGAATTAGACATGAAAAGTAATACTAAATCTGTCTTAAAAAAAATTATTTTTGATTCATCTCAATGATTTATTTAAAAGAATGACACTAATTAAATACACCTTGCTGAAACTGTTCATAATATGGCTGGCTTATTGTACATGGTGTATATACTGAATGATTATTTTATTATATTAAAAGAAACTGCAACCTATTAAATTGAAATATTACTTGAACTTGACAGACTACGAGCAAAAATAATTACCAGCTAATTATAAACTCAATTCTAAACTTTGATCAATTTAAAAAACCAAATATGTCATTAATCTTGGGACTAGCAAACAAATAAATTTTCAGTGAATTATTTACATATAAACAATTAAATTTTATGCACAAAAAAGGCAGATGAAAACCTTGAACAACGAAGGAATAAAATATACTAGATTAAATCCCTATTCAATAAATTTTCTATGTAAAGACTACCTTTCTAGTGGAACTCTCCTGATACTGGTAAAGGGTTCTTCATCAAAGGAATCAGAGCTACCATCCCCTTCCTTGGATCAAACCTGATTAACACTCTTCCTAGGTGCTGTATAATCTTATGAGTTTTGTGCTATCCCACTAATAATAATAATAATAAATAAAACTACCTTAATAAAACCATGTATAATGAGATTTAAAATATTTTGTGTACAACAACCATGGTTTCACATATGGTTAACAAGTCCTGAGTCATCACTTAAGTGTGTTGCAGTTAAGTGTAGATTTATGATGCTCCCTGGCTTTGTACGAGGGATGTACTCTGTAAAAATATTTTGCATAGCACATTAACAGCTAGTCTGTACAGTGGATCCCCGGTTAATGATATTTTTTCATTCCAGAAGTATGTTCAGGTGCCAGTACTGACCGAATTTGTTCCCATAAGGAATATTGTGAAGTAGATTAGTCCATTTCAGACCCCCAAACATACACATACAAACGCACTTACATAAATACACTTACATAATTGGTCGCATTGGGAGGCGATTGTTAAGCGGGGGTCCACTGTATTTAGTAATAAAGAGGCATATTCTAGAGCTCCTTCTCAGATCTAGTATTAGTTTATTTTTATTTTATTAAAATGTGTTAGATTATTTCCTTTTACAGTTTTGATTCTCCACATTTACATACCTAACTTCATCTTTGATTAATTAACCCTTTGTCAGGCAAGAAACTATAATGAAAGGATTTTGATGTGCTTCTAGTATATTATAGTTTGGCATATTCTACTTTTATTTTTGTGACTTTTGATGTACCTTCCATATTTTTTATGTTATGACTGTTTGAATGTGAGTTTTAAGTTATTTACAAGCAACTGAGAACCATAGTCTGCTAGGTCTAGAATGACATTACTTCACATCTCAATTTCTCATTCCATTTGGGAAGTGGCTAGAGCTTTTCATCAGTTGCTTTTGGATGATGAGAAGTTTTCCCTACAGGATAGAGGCCATGTCAAAAAATTCATGAGCCCTTAAATGGCTCTAATTAGGCATTAAAAAAGTAACACTATAGTGTTACTTGCCATGAGTCAATACAGCTCTAACAGAGCAAAACAATGTCTCTGGAAAAGCTTGCTCTGCAAAGTGTATTTTCTCCAGCCTAACTAATTATAAATGTGTAACAGATAGAATTAAAAAAATATTTCCCCATCTTATATTTTCTTCAATAAGCCTAGGACCCTCTTACTATACTCATGCATCACCATGCATGACACAGCTACACACAACACAATCACTGCTACCACGAAGCTCTGCCACAATATAACATGGGGCACAACACAGGTACCCTTAACATTCTCCATTGCATCAAGTAACTATGGACATGTATAATATACTACATATATTTGTGGAATTATACTAGGGATGTATCTCTATAGAAATTTTTTATCACTCTAAAACAAAGGAAAATAATTAGAAATCCTTAACAGGACATGTTAATACCCGCTGAAGCACAGACTGAATAATATTAATGTAATTAAATTAATAGTTAAATCCAAAAGGGTCATACAGCGCTGCTTCTAGGGAAGTGTGAAAGGAGGAATATGCAATAAGTTAGTTTCTGCTAAAACGTCAGAGTGAGTCTGCATCACAGGTGGGATTTTCAGCAAGGAGGTCAGGGAGAATTAGTGGGTTGAGGCGGTAAGTGAATTCTCCATGAACGCTGATAGACTGAACAATCCATTAAGATATGTTGTTCTGGCAGTGCAACCCAACAGTTATCGCAGAGTGGCAGATCAGTTCTTTTTTTTTTTTTTTTTGAGGAACTTGTCAGGTTCCCTCTTATAGGCTGATAGTGGTCAATTGATAATTTCCATTATATATGAAAACGAGGGTGTTGAAAACTGTTAGATACTTCATGTTTAATGAGTTCTCTCATAGTACATTTAATACCCCACAAATTTTCACAGGGGATAATTTGCAGTGTCTATTGTTTCTGGATCTATTATAGTTTATTTATATTTGCAGATTTGAAATCAATCCCTCCAGTATTTTGAAAGGTAAGGTAATGAAAGTAACAAAAAAGGGGAATGTATCAGAGTATAGTGGCACCAACACTCTTATACGAGTGTGAAGCATGGGTTTTAAACACTGCAGTGAGAAGGTTGGAAGCAAGGAGTATACCTGGAGAGAGTTCCGGGGATCAACGCCCCCATGGCCCTGTCTGTGACCAGGCCTCATGATGGACCAGGGCCTGATCAACCAGGCTGTTACTGCTAGCCACACACAGTCCAACGTATGACCCAAAGCCCCGCTGGTCAGGTACAGACTTTACATGCCTGTCCAGTGCCTGTTTGAAGACAGCCAGGGGTCTATTGCCTTATGTATGCAGGGAGGTAGTTGAACAGTATGGGCCCCTCACACTTATTGTGTTGTCTCTTATCATGCTAGTGGCATCCCTGCTTTTCATTGGAGGGACACTGCGTCATCTGCCAAGTCTTTTGCTTTTGTAGGGAGTGATTTTCGTGTGCAAGTTTGGTACTAATCCCTCTAGGATTTTCCAAGAGTATATAATCATGTATCTTTCCTGCCTGCGTTCTAGAGGGCACAGGTTTAAGAACTTCGAGAGTTCCCAGTAATTGAGGTGCTTTATCACAGTTATGCATGTCATGAAGGTTCTCTGTACATTTTCTAGGTCAGCAATTTCACCTGCCTTGAAAGGTGCTGTTAGTGTGCAGCAATATTCCAGCCTAGATAGAACAAGCAACCTAAAGAATTCATGGGCTTGGCATCCCTGGTTTTTAAAGTTCTCATTATCCATTTTGTCATTTTACTAGCAGATGTGACTGATACACTGTTATGATCCTTGAAGGAGAGATTCTCTGACATGACATAAGTTTTTTGCTCTATTGACATGACATAAGTTTTTTGCTCTATTGTTTGGATGGAATTTGTTTTATACTCTGATGAAGTTTTAATTTCCTCACGTTTTCCATATCGGAGTAACTGAAATTTCTCCTCATTGAACTTTATGTTGTTTTCTGCAGCCCATTTAAAGATTTGGTTGATATCCGCCTGGAGTCTTGCAGTGTCTTCAACAGAAGACACTGTCATGCAAATTCGGGTGTCATCTGCAAAGGAAGACACGGAGCTGTGGCTTATATCCCTGTCTATGTCCGATATGAGGATGAGGAACAAGATGGGATTGAGTATTGTGCCTTGTGGAACAGAGCTTTTCACCGTAGACGCCTCAGACTTTACTCTGTTGACTACTACTCTTTGTGTTCTGTTTGTGAGGAAATTATAGATCCCTCTACCAACTTTTCCTGTTATTCCTTTATCACACATTTCGTGTGTTATTACACCATGGTCACACTTGCCAAAGGCTTTTGTAAAGTTTGTGTATATTACATCTGCATTCTTTTTGTGTTCTAGAGCATCCAGGACCTTGTCATAGTGGTCTAGTAGTTGGGACAGACAGGAGCATCCTGCCCTTAACCCATGCTGCCCTGGGTTGTGTAACTGATGGGTATCTAGATGGGTGGTGATCTTGCGTCTTGCGTCTTAGAACCCTTTCAAAGACTTTTGTGATATGGGAAGTTAGCGCTATCGGTCTGTAGTTCTTTGCTATTGCTTTACTGCCCCTTTTGTGGAATGGGGCAGTTGTTTTTAGTAACTGTGGGACAACCCCAGTGTCCATGTTCCCTCACCATAGGATGTTAAGAGCACGTGATGGGGGCTTCTTGCAGTTCTTGATGAACACGGAGTTCCATGAGTCTGGGCCTGGGGCAAAGTGCATGGGCATGCCATTTATTGCCTTTTCGAAGTCATCTGGCATCAGGATAATATCAGATAGGTGTGTGTCTACCAAATTCTGCCTCTCTCTCGTAAAAAAATAATTTAGGTCTTTGACTCTCAGTCTGGTTAGCGGCTCACTAAGAACCAAGTTATACTTGGGACTTGAGTAGCTCACTCCTTTCCCTGCTGTCATCTGTGTAGGACCCATTCCGTTTAAGTAGGGACCCAATACTGGATGTTCTCGACTTCGATTTGGCATAAGAGAAGAAATACTTTGGGTTTCTTTCAATTTCATTCACGGTTTTTAGTTCTTCCCACGATTCTTGACTCTTTTAAGATTTCTTTAGCTTTAGTTCAATGTTTGCTATTTCTCTGATTAGTGTCTCCCTACATATTGCGGATATATTGGCCTCTTGTAGCTGCTCTGTTATTCTTTGCCTTCGCCTGTATAGGGAGCACCTTTCTCTTTCTAGTTTACATCTTCTCCTTTTCCTTAAGGGAATATGCCTTGAGCATACCTCAAGTGCCACAGTGTTAATTTGTTTTAGACATAGGTTAGGCTCCGTGTTGCTTAGGCTATCTTCCATGGGCAATGTGTAGCT